AACCCAGAAACAGCAAAAAGCTGTCTTAAATTCTCTCTCTCTCCTTTTTAAGCCCTCTCAGGTTTTTAAGTGGATTTAGCCTATCACGTCTGGGCGCCATCTGTTGAAATTAGGAGCGGCAGGGCTGCGTCCCTGGCACCCGGCCGCCCGCATGGCTAGCTTATGCCCAAAATAATTACACGGAAACTGTATTCTTTCAAACACTGCTTGGCCCATTATCTGTAGCCTCTTATTGGCTAGCTCTTACATATTGTTCTAACCCATTTCTAATATTCTGTGTAGCCCACGAGCTGGCTTACCAGGGAGGATCTTAATCTGCGTCTGTCTGGAGCGGGAGAATCATGGCGACTCTCTAAGCTTCTTTCTCCCAGAATTCTCTTCTGTATACTCCGCCTACCTAATTTTCTATCCAATAAAATGGGCCAAGGCAGTTTCTTTATTAATAAGAAACCACTCCCACATCATGGGAGTCAATAACAGAATACCAATAGTGTAGGGAATGTTTTTAACGTTCCATAATCTGCAGATGATTTCTTGTAGGTGGTCTGAACATCTCTTTAAAGGGCATATGTGAAAGAGGAAGGAAGTTGATTCCATAGAAAATCAGTACAATTGCAAAGTGCTGTGGTTACCCCGCAGTGTATCACATCCAAGTTTTGAAAATGCATTGTCATCTATAACAAAAAAGCCCAAGTGTAAGATTTTTGAACTAGCAAGTAAATTTACAAAACACTTGTTTCAATTTGAACAAAGTACAATGAAATTTCATAGTAAACAACAAAAAAACCCAAGTGTAAGATTTTTGAACTAGCAAGTAAATTTACAAAACACTTGTTTCAATTTGAACAAAGTACAATGAAATTTCATAGTAAACAACATTTTGGACATGCTTATGCTTAAAATATGATTGATTTACACACAGTGACTCACCTATAATGCCAGCAGATTTGAGAAGGCTAGAGACTCCTATGTTCAAAACAGCCTAGACAACACAGAAAGATCCTATTACAAAAAGATGTTCGCTTATACAATATCTGCATTCGATTGTCAGTTTTCTCTTTCACCTGGAAAGCCTGTATAAGTGCAATAGCCTAGCTATGCCTCAGAAGCTATTCAGCGGCAGGCCTACTGACCATAGTGGGTTTGTGACCTAGACATGGCCTTGTCCATTTGTAGACTCAATCACAATCCCATTTTCACTCTTCGTTTCAATCAGAATCCTCCACCAAGTGATATGAGATGAGGCATACCTACCAGCACTTTGAATGATGGGCTCAATCACTTTGTTCCCGGCAGACATGAAAAAAGCCCTCAAATGCAGCAGTAGCCCCTCAGGGCAATAGAATGAGAACAGTCACACCTGTCATAGGACCCATAAGATGCTAACCCTGTCCTTACCCTGGGAGGCTGGCCTGCTGCCCTCTGCTCCACTGCAGACATCAGTCCTATAACTCTGCTCTAGTCCATGTTAGCTGTTTATCTAAAAACGGTTTTGCCTCATAAATGACTTACAGGATAGCTTGTCTATTCATCCCTATGGCATAGACTTACTGCTGTTGGTTCCAAAACATATCCCCAAATAGCTGTGAAACATTAATTTATTTTTTTGCTGGGCTTTGACCCACGGTCATCACTGCTAACACCCCTACCTCACTTCCCTCGCACATATGGGAATCCAGGACAATATGCACAGACCTCAGCATCAGCTGTAATTCCTACATTCATCTTAAATTCTATTTCACCTTATTTGTGACCCACAGAAACTGTGACCTGCTCAGAGACTCATTGAATGGCACAGTAAAAACCCTGACAAGGACTCAGAGAAAGCCTTATCTGTTCATGCACTTGGTATCATGCCTGTAACCTCTTAAGCCTTTCCTCCACTAATCCCATTGACCTAGGTTCTGTAGAGAGTCCAGTATGGCCAGTTCCTAGACAAACCCCATGTTTTATTAAGTTCTTAAAAACAGACAGGCCAAACAGATTCTATTATGAGCTCAGCAGCAGAATATGACCCAGTTTAAGTCCTATACAATTGAGATTACAGAGCTATTCCATTAGCCTTTGAATGCATGATTAAAGGGATCTTGACTTTGAGATGCAAAGACGTGAACATGTATGTACATATGCATAAAAAAACAAAAAATATGGCATCACCAATAGAAACCATGGCGTATTAGGCAGTGACCTCAAAGGGAGGAATATCTAAAAATCACCTGACAAAGAATTCAAAACATTTGTCTGTAAGATTCTATTTAAGATGCAAGAGGAAAAAAGATAAATAACTAAATGAAGTATAATGAAATGGACACAATGAGAAGTTTAAGAAATTTTAAAAATAACTAAAAAGAAATTCTAGAGTTGAACAATATGATAATGTGAGTACAAAAGGCAACTCAGTGCTTCAACAGCAGACTAGACAATATGGAAAAGGAACCAGAAAACATTAAGCCATTGTACTTGAAATTAACTAATTGGAGGAAGAAAAGATATAAATCAAGGTAAGAATATGAAGCAAGGTAATAAGAGACCTACAAGATGCTACGATAGGAATAAATGCATAAATTATGAGATTGAAAAGAAAATGAGAAAAGAGTTAGAAAAAGAAAAGAGAAAAGAAAATTAGAAAAACCATGATTGAAAACATTTGCCAAATCTTAGGAAATATATCTACATTAATAAATTAAATCTACTTGAAGCGATGATTACTTTAGAAGAGAATGTAAGGCATATTTTAGCCAAATATGTTAAGATGCAGGCACAAGCAAAAGAATATTCTAAAAAACAGAAAAGAAATCAAAAGAGTAGAATGGTATCGCTCAAAATGCCAAGGAAGAAAATCAGTCTATCAATCATCAATCAGTATTGAATACTGTGCTTAACCAAGCTATTCATCAGAAAGGAAAGAAAAGTGCAATATTCAATAATCATTACAAATATCCTCTGATAAGAGTCAGAGTCTCAATTTTAAACAAAAATGCTTTGTTTTCTAGTAATATGTAATTTATTTGGAAATATATATATTTTGGATATATATATATATCCCTGAATAATGCACACAGCTAATTAATGAACATGAACTCAAATAGTCCACATCACTTTTATAATCTGATATTCCTGCAGATCTTGGAATCAAGAAATTTTTGTATTATTTCCTATTATATACGACAATCATCTTCAATCCTTTAACCTTGGAAGCCAAATACAGAACAACCACCTCCATTTGGGATGGATTCACCATCTCTTTATCTTGCTACAGTCTGATCTTCTTCAAGTATGTCTCAGGGAATTAACTGCACACTTCCATGGACTGATACTGTCAGATTTCAAGCCCTGCTACTGCTCCCCACAGTGAGCAGCTGACTAGAATGTTTTCCTCCCAAAATGCTGACTATGGTTCTTGACATCTGCTATGCTACTGTGTTCCTGCCAGAAGTGTAAACTGAAGGAAGGGCAAAGCTGTTTTTCTTTTTTAATTTCTCTATTTTTATGCAATACTTTAAACCTGAAACAAAAAAAAAGACTGTGCAATGTCTGTGCAGAACTTTCACTAATGTTTATAACTAAATGCACTTTTAGCTCTTAAAATATACAGAAAGTATATTGTGTGGATTATAAAAGACTAGTTTAATTTTCTTATAAACAAAACCATCAGGTTCTTGATGTATATATTTTATGTGAAAATTAATACTAAATCACTTATATATGTTATAAAATCTGATCCCTCCATTCTGTGTCCTTGATACTACTTCTTATCATAAACAGGAATCTGAGCATCAGGCTCAACTTACAGCACTTTCATCACTACACTCATAACATACACACCATCTTAGCTTGGTTTCTGTTGCTCTGATAAAATACTACCCAAAATCTAGTTATGTGCTTTATACATCTATGTTCATACACAGGGGAAAAAAGTAAGAACTTAATGCAGGAACTTGAAACAGAGATCAAGGAGAAATGCAGCTTAATGGACTTCTCTTCTTCCTTTCATATACAGAAGTCCACATGACTTGGGACAGCACAACTCATGATGGGATGGGCCCTCACAAATCAATTATTAACCAAGAAAATTCTCTACACGTTAATATCATGGAATCAACTTCTCAGCTGGGATATTCTCTTCCTAGGTAATTCTAGTTTTTGTCAAATTGATAAGAAATAATCTCTATCATCTATCTATTTGTCAACCTGTCTATCTATCTATCTATCTATCTATCTATCTATCTATCTATCTATCTATCTATAATGTATCTATAAATCTCTCATCATTATCACCACCACCACTATACAACCTCTACCACAACCATCATCAACATTATCATCATCATCATCATCATCATCATCATCATCATCATCATCACCAGGCATCACTTCACATTTTGAGCTTTAATATTGTCTTGATACAGAATATCAGTTTAAACTGAACAGAATACTGAAATTCACACATTTAGCATATTTACTAAATGTTTAAGTGTGTATGGCTCCATACAAGAGCAAGTTCTTACAGGTGTCTTAGAGAAGCTGTATCTATGAAAGAGTAAAATAAAAATAAATTATAGTTAATTATCATCTGAATCAATAAGAGTTCACAAATTTAAACCAATAGTTGATAATATGATTATATGATAATTTACTTTGACTTGCTTCTAAATAGCTTTTCTTAACTTAAAATATCCCATTTACCTTGTGCCTCTGGGATTTAAAAAAAAAAACCTGTTTGACATTTGAAAACATACCTAATGTGAATACAGTTTACTTATTAATACAGATTAACTATTAACCTCATTTCTTAATTATACATTGCATTTTGAAATGAACTTCATAAGCATAATACCCCAAACAAAAATAACTGCAAATTTGTATCAATATAGCAAAATGCATGCCAATCAAAATATCTGAGATTAATAATCACTTTTTTATCCTAAATTCTTATATTCCCTAAATGATAACAAATACCCATAGCCCACCAAATACTCAAGAAATATCCACACACCAACTCTTGGGAATGTGGAAGTCATTTTCTCTAGACTGCTACCTATTGTCTGTGAACAGAGGCATCTTTAGCAGTCTCTCAGAAAGCTGAAATAATATAATGGGCAAGTCCTGGGAAGACGAGTTGTAACCTTTGTTGATATCTTCCCAGATCAAACTTGATCCATATTAACCCTGAAGGAATCCACAGTCTCTCATTTCCTATGGAAATAAAAGCAAAACATCTTCTCCAAAGTAATACATTTTTGAGTTCCATTTTAAAATACAATTTTTAGTCCCATTTTAAAGTTAAAGAATTCATAAAGTATATTGACTGCTTTAATTTAACAGCCCAGTTTACATCCCAGCTGTTGTTAGCTCATCGGCATTCAGCAAGTTCAAAATCAACATAACACTATATAGGATCCAGACTCCCTGTGTATTTTCCGTTGTTACATAGCTTTTTCTTTTATATGACCTTTACTCTTTCTTTCAAAATGTTACTAGCCACCTCTGCAACTGGCTACGAAGTAAAACTAGCCCACAGTTAGTCACCCTTCAAATCTCTCAGCTTAACTATGAGTGAGGCTAGTGTGAGCTGTTCTGCAAGGACAGACAGTAGTTTGCACTTGAGATTTGGGAAAAAAATCAAAAAGAATTAAAATTATTTTATTCTTTAATTTAAATATTTAATATAAAAGATACAGTAAGTTATAACATTATTCAAATAGCTTTTTATAATAAATAGCTAATTAAAATTTAATACATTCAAAAATACTGCAATTATTACTCATGATTTTATCATCAAATTTAAAGAAAAAGATTTTTTTTGCATACTAAATACCAATTAAAGCCAGCTTTGGTTTTGTTGTTTTTGTTGTTGTTTAGAAAAGAGGGGCTTGGAAAGGTTATCTAGCTACTTGTCCATTAAAAAACAGTCTTATAGACGTAATCAGTCCTTACCCTAAATTATTTAATTGTATAATTCAATATTATTAACCTCCTTTTTTCTGCATAACAAAAAGCCTCCTCTAAGTACCGCATGTTCAAAGGAAGACGTTATTGTTTACACAAAACCTCTTACCTTATCACCTTTGCTATGTCGGTAAATTTCATAAACATTTTCTGTGGATCAAAAAACTTATTCTGAGTTTACTTTTTATAGACTTCTCACATGTACTAGGTTATTTTTGTATACTATTTCAAGACACCTAGAATCAGTATTATAAATATTATTAAAGCTAATTAAATTTTCCTTTATACATTGTGATGATTTAGGGTTTTTAAATTATTTTATTTTATCTTCATTAGTGTTTTGCTTCCATATACATTTGTATGAGGGCATCAGAAGCCCTGGAACTAGAGTTACAGACAAGTGTGAGAAGAGATGTGGGTGCTAGGAAGTGAACCCGGGTCTTCTGGAAGAGAAGCCAGTGTTCTCAACCACAGAGTCATTTCTCCATCCAGTGATGATTAGTTTGAAAACTGTAAACATGACAGCATCTAGAATTCCCAGAAAGAGGAGCCTCGGAGCATGCCTATAGGGATTTACCTTTTTACATTTTTTTTAATTGAAATATAATGACATCATGTCCCCCCTTCCATTTCCTCTCTCTAATCACTCATGTACTCTCCTTGAATCCTCCCAAATTTATGGCCTTATTTTCTTTGCTGTTGTACACAACACACAGACACACACACACACACACACACACACACACACACACACACACACTTGAGTCTCCTTTGTGTTACCTGTGAGTAGATCATATTAAGGTTGACCATTTGGTATAATATAACAAGTTAGGAGGTTCATTCCTCGGGAACACTGTGTCTCTTGCTCTCCGCATTCCTTATTTGCTGGTAGATTTTTGTCTCAGGTTGTTGGATGATCTAACCAGTGTGGGTGACACCCTCCCCTGACTGGCATCCTGAACGGTACAGAGAAAGCTAGGGAGATGAGCTGCTGCAGACATTTCAAGGCTCTCTTTTTCTGACTGTGACTCTTTGCTTCAAGATTCTGTTTCTTTCCTGTTCCCACCTTGGATTGAGAGCTGAAATAATTCCTCTCTTCCTTCAGCTGATTTTGGCAGTGTTTTATCACAGCAACAGGAAAAGAAACTACAATATATTGCAAATGGTCAAGGATAGACAGTATTTAAACAACAAGCTGCATATACACATGGTCCATTGCATTTACAAGCAGCAGTAACTTAATACAGCAGTGATACCTGATTCAGGAAAACAAACACGATTTTTCTGTGTTACTTTGTCAAATAATTAATTTTCTGCTTGCTAATACTCTTTGTAGATATATATAGATATGTAAGCAAATTACATTAACTGTTGAAATTTGGTGCATCAATTTAGTTCCTCTTCCCTCCATTTTTTTATCTTCTTCATAAAAAAAAAAAAAAAGAAAGAAAAAAAAGCAAACAACCAAACTATAGCTGTGACTTGTCAGGTGAGTCTTGAACCTAATTCATTTGAGCAATCAATGGCAATTAAAAATTGATCTAAAACACAGGAAGGGAAAGATAATTGTTCACTTTATCAGTTCACATTGGAGCTTTTCTAAATGAACAAAAAAGGAAATTGAGAAGGTCAGTTACTCATAAGACTGGAAACTCAGAAAAAGACTATAGAAATACTTCCTCTTACAGCAGAGGCAAAGAATCAGCTGTATTCAAACATACTGAGAAGCCCAGCAATAGTATATATGTTTATACATGTATGCATGCACAAAAGTTAATTTAAAAAAGGTCATGAATTTGAAAGAGAGTCAGGATGCAAAGGAAGAGAAAAATGACCTAGTTAAAGGAGAAAGAAAATGATCTAACCCACTGTTCTAAGCAGCTCCTGTGACCCTATTCTGTGTACCATTAATATGACATGTCATGTGCACAACACACTTTTTTTTTTCATTTTTCAAGTCTGGCTATCTCTGTATAGCCCTTGCTGTCCTGGAACTCACTCTGTAAACCAGACTGGCCTGAAACTCAGAGATCTGCCTGTCCCTGCCTCCCAAGTGCTGGGATTAAAGGTGTGCACCACCACTGGCCAGCAACAGAACACATTTTATACAATAAGTATCACCACATGAAAAGCAGCAGCTTTGCCTTGAGGCCACATTTCGGCATCTAAATGTTTGAATGCTATAGCCCTCCTCACACGTCTACTAGCTTGCTTATTTCAGCAAGTCTAATCTCTATCTAAGGGGCTAACTGTGAGCGTTTTCACAGCATGGCTGTCTGCTCCAAATTCTCTACATAAAAATTTCCATTAATCTAACTCAGAAGGATTTTCCACAAAGCAGATTAACGGACTGGAAATTCACGGTGCATTAATTCCAGGTCGTTCTGCTCTGCAAAGTTGCCTTTGTTCCAGGGACACTGATTGGGGGATGTGTTCTTCTGTGCTCCGGTCATCCCAAAGGTTTGCAGTGGAGTAACTGAAGGCCAAATAAATATCATTTGTAATTTTGCATAGAGTTCCGGATAGTGCTGACCTCAAGGTCTTGCTTCTGCACAATTCAGAAAGGAACAAAGAAAACTTACCTTTTTGGTTTACATATTAATGATTCCTCAATTAACTGGGTGCCTTCACATCAACAAGATGTTAATGTACATCAAAAGTTAAATATGTAGCAGGGTTTTATTTCTAGTTAATTTGAATTTTCTGTATTTCAAGTGTATATTAAAGTATTTTCTTATTTTTGAGATTATAATTTAATTACAACATTTCTCCCTTCCCCTTCCTCTCTTCAAATCTTTCCTTGCTGTCACTTAAATTCACGGGCTCCTTTTTCATTAATAGAAGAAAAACAAAATATTGCATAACTGTTTCAGAGTGAGGCTGAAAGGTCAAATTTCAAGAATTTGTGCTGATAAAAATCAACTAAATAAGCCCTGAATTTAGCTGAGCTACAATTAAATAAGCAAAAGAAGACTGGATTTGAAATGAGATATATAACCTGAGTTTAAAAAATAAGGTAAGTTTATGTGTATTTTTTGTTTGCTTGTTTTGTTTTTTTTTTTTTGTTTTATTTTTGCTTTTTTGGAGGTAGTGTGTGTGTGTGTTTGTGTGTGTTTGATTTTTTTCTACAACACTGAGAGTGGATACCTAGAAAAAATAAATTAGTTTATTAAATCCACTTGTTTATACCATGTGATTTAAATGGTCTTAAGTGAGGATGGAAAGATGACTCATTTGGCTGCATAAGTTGCAGACATGAAAATTTGGAGTAGGGAAGATTGCTCGTGCTCACGAGTTTCTCCCTTAGCTCTCAGTTCACTGAGAGACACTGTCTCAAAGCAATAAGAAAAGGACTGATCAAGCAATAAAGCTATACCAGGTACAAGCACCTGAACACAAACACGCATGCTCACATGTACCTACACTGTACACTCAGACATTGCACTCACACACGTACACACACAATCTCAATTGAAAAATATTAATGTGAGAAAATAAGTAAATGAATAACATGTGCATATATTCCTGCCAGAGGAATATTAGTTGGAAAGGTAAAAATCCTCTTTTTTCCCTGCTGAAACTAAAGATGCTGGCGTTAGTTTTTCTATTATTGGTGTTGCATTGAAGCTTTAAGCAGGTTAGTCAATTTTTCCTATATTCTCTACAAAAGGAATAGTCTTGGTTTAAACTTGTGTCTTCCTGTGTCTTTTGCAGTGCCATTGTAAATAGACAGATACACATACGCGGACAAACAGGGACATACACTCTCACACACACAATGCACAAACACACGTACACACACACACACACACACAATGTAAAATCTGTTCCACATTTCATAACAGTGTCTAAACTTAGTTCCTAAAAAGCTGGTACAGTAGCAAGCTTGTTGTTACAATCTGTGCCAAGGAAACCTTAGGAAAACTCATAAATTAAGTGGAGATGGATTGGATGCCATCTGGATTCAGCATGAAGTTTAAATCTGTGTGTGAATGCCTCTTTATCATCTATTAGCTTACTATGGTACCGATGGCTAAATGAGAGACAATTAGTGTAACCTAGCTGAACCTGTTTCTTACTCTAAAAATTAGTGCTAATATTTATTTCAATGAGGTAATGTTTTGACTTTCCTGATACAGTGCTAACTTGTTTTTTTTTTTAGAGTAAACATAACTAATTTGGAAAATTGATTAGATATTTCCTTCATCTTAATTTCTCAGGGATATTCACGGACCCCTCCCCTAGTCTACACACACAGGCTTGCTCTCCCTTCCTCCCAATGGCTTCCTGTATAGTCCTAGAGAAAGCCTTGGCCTCCAGAAGTGAGTCTGAGGCACTTTTTGTATTAACTCTTTAAAAAAAATATACTTTTATGATAACTTCGTTTTTGCCTTAAGCTTATCAATAAAATATATGATTAATTTTAATTCGTTGTCCTTTGGGAAAGTCAGTGAGTTGTTAAGATTTCTTTGTATTTATTTTAAAATCTTTGCTTCTTATTGTATTTTGTAATCTAGTGCTACATTCTCCCGTTCATATTATGTTTACACTTTATTCTTTGTGTTTCTGTCCATGTACCAAATGTTACCCATATTGTCTCTTTTTTTCTTTAGTTTGATCATTTCCACACCTCTATTCTTTTAATTCCTTTAAACATCTGGCACTTTCCTGCTATGTTGCCATTATTGCTGACCTTTTGGAAGCCATTAGTTTGCAGTTGCCTGAACACCTACTGTGTCACTAAATAAACAGGAAAATGCTGTGGTTATAGCAGGCTCTCGGAGAATTGCAGGGATAGGTGCAGAGCAGCTGCTACAAAATAATAACATATTATAAATCTCACCTTTTAGCATGGAAATGATAATGGAGTGTTGCTGATGATTAAACAAAATATGAAAATCAATGATTTGGGGCTGAGAAATGATTGAAAAAAAAAACAAATTTTCAGTTATAATAGGCTCTGAGAATTAATGAACAAACCTAATTCCACTGTAAATTAAGAAAGAAAGCTGTCTTTTAGAACAGGGTGGATGGATAATAAAAACTTATGTACAAATATGACTACAAAGTTCCTTCCAATGACTATCAAATAAAATGCTTCTTCAACAAAGGTATAATAGAGACAATGAAGGCATAACAGTATTCTTCCCCTGACATGATTACTCATAACCACCTGATGGTGATGACACTTTCAAGGAAAATTGATGGCCCTTCCTTGACTTAAATCCATCATTTTTTGTAATTGATTAACCCACGCATGATTTCCCTAGGAATTTGGAAGTCAATGTATTTCCTCATCTGTGTCAGAGTAACAGAATTGGATAACACTTCACTCATCATCAAAAGCAAAAGTACAGGTGGTGGAAAGATAGCTCAGTAGTTAAGAGCACAGGCTGCTCTTCTAGGGGACCATTGTTCAAGTCCCACCACCCACACGATAGCGCACAACTATCTGTAACTCCAGTTCAGCAGACATAATGCCATCTACTGTTCTCTTCAGACACCGGGGACACACACACACACACACATCTGCACTAGCATAGATAAAGGAACACACACACATATGCATAGAATAAAGACAGAATAATTTAACAAATACACGTATAGTGAGAGATGTGGTAATGTAATGAGATAGTGACTCCAATCCAAACCCAGATAATTCCTTTAGACACAAAAAACTTAATGGCTGATATATATATATATATATATATATATATATATATAACAAAATATTTACAAAATATATATTTTACAAAATAAAATCTTAGAATGTTTACTATTCTCATCTTAGTAGAAATTTCTCCTGGAAAAGAAAATTTCCCAACCTTCTTTGCTCATCAGAGGATAGCAAACTGTTATTTTTGGTTTTATTGAAATGTTGGTTCAATAAATAAAAATGTTATTGCTTAAATTATTTGAATGAAGATGGAGCCT